TGAGTTCTGATTTAATTCATCACGCTATAAATCCTAAGCCTAACCCCTAAACCCTGGGGGCATAGGGGGCTGAGTTGTACAAGTGTTCTGCAGGTTTAGGGTTTAGGGGTTTAGGGGTTCAGGGTTTAGGGTTTCCGAACCCAAAACCTCCACCATAACCCAAGAAAAGCACCAAGGACTCTCAACTTAAATCCCGCCAAAACTCCCCCAAAGCTCCCCCGAAATGGAAGCCAGCATCCCCACAGCCCGACACCCTGAACCTCTAAACCCCAAACCCGAAGGCCTTGCTAAACCCTGAACCCTGAACCACTGGAACCCTGAACCCTAAACCCTAAACCCCTAAACCCCTAAACCCCTCAACGCTAAACCCTAAACCCTAAACCCCGAAGGCCTAAACCACTGAACCCTGAAATACTGGAACCCTACATCCGAAGATCCGCGAAGCCCAAGGGTGTGGGGGTTTAGGGTTTGGGTTTAGGGCTTTAGGGCTTTATGGTTTAGGGTTTGGGGGTTTAGGGTTTAGGGTTTAGGGTTTTAGGGGTTTAGGGTTTAGGGTTTAGGGGTTTAGGGGTTTAGGGTTTAGGGGTTTAAGGGGTTTAGGGGTCGAATCTGAAAGCAGAAGCTCAGGACGGGCGGCTGAGCGCTTCGAGAACTTGGCTCGATCCGAGCTCCTCCTCCACCGACGAGACCCTGTGGGATGGGCTTGGGGCTCATGGGAGTTAGGACGAGGTTTAGGGCTTAGGGTTTAGGGTTTAGGGTTTAGGGTAGGATGAGGGGGACCCTTGGGGATATAGACCCTCTCAACAAGGTCCCTTTTCAGAGAGCCGGAAGTAGGATTAAGAAGGTCCCCTGTAAGTGGTCCCCCTAATACTACCTAGGAGTTTAATGTAGGCGCCTGCATAATTAGACAGGATGGTAAGGTTTAGGGTTGAGGGCTTGAAGGCCTTTCTAACCCTAAACTCCTAAAGCCCTGCGACACGGGGTTCAGTGAAGCACCGAACTTGAGGGTTCGTTTATCCAAGGGGTTTAGGGTCTAGGGGTAAAGATAGGGTGCATTGACTTTGCCGGTAAGGGTCCTCGTGTGGTTATGTAATGTTGTCGGCCTCATGTGCGCTTGCTATGTAACTGGGTCTGCGTGCTTCGTTGATGCTATTGCTCGGCTGCTTTAGCTCCAAACTCGCTTGCTCACTGTTCTTAACCCGAGACCTGTAAGCATCAAACCCTGAACAAAAACAGAACAGAATACACCAAACCCTAAACCCTGCAACCCTCAACCCCAAGCCCTAAACCCTCCCTAAACCCTAAAAACCTTATAGATCCCTCAACCCTGCAGCCCTGAACCCTGAATTCTGGATCTCTGGGTGTTCCTTTCTTTCTCGCTGAAGGGTTTAGGGCTTAAGGGTTTAGGTGTCTAGGGCCTAGGGGTTTCGGGGTTTAGGGTTTAGTTGCTTGGAGTTTAGGGGTTTAGAGTTTATCTGAGGTTAAAACCATGTGCCCCTAGCATGGCCCCTAGAAAGGCCTAAGGGTCCATATTAGGGGCCCATACTTCTAACCTTCGAGTTTAGGGGTTGAGGCGTTTAGGGGCTTAGGTGTGTGTGCTCCGAGGTGCATTTTGTCCACGAGGGCGGTGAGGTCGGCAGGAAGCTGCCTGAAAAGGGCTTGTCGGGCTTAGGCTTGCAAGGTGTAGGGTCTAAAGCTTCAGGGTTTAGGGTCTGTGGGTTTCGGATTTTGTGGGTTTAGGGTCTAGGTTTAGGGCTTTGGTTTTACGTTTCGCATTTTCGGGGCTTTGACTTGGACTTCCTGGCGTAGGCCTTTGGTTTGGCTTGGGATCTGTGTCTCAAGCCTCACAAAGTCATCACGGCTTAGGTGTACTCAAACGAAGATAAAATCCAAAGAAGGGCACAACATCGCAAACCCTCAACCCTAAACCACAATACCCCTAATACTTAGAACGGAGCTTGGGGATGTAGTACACTAGAGGACTGGCATTCCGATTATCAACGCCCGATGTTTAACCCCAAACCCCAAACCGGACTTCATGTTCAGGGTTCCCTAAAGCCTAAACTTTAAACCTTATTCCCTGAACGCCTAAACCCTAAACCCTAAACCCCTAAACCCTAAACCCCAAACCCCTAAACCCTAGACCCCCAAAACCCTAAACTCACCAGTACCTGCTTGGCAGCTCTGCAGCCAAACGCAGCCAAAGCCTGGGTACCAGCAGGGCAGAAAAATGAGCCTTCGACAGGAAAATCGAGGGCTTCTGCTGTGTTTACGCAAGTCTTGTAGGGTTTAGGGTTTAGGGTTGTAGTCCATGTACCGGAGCCCCCTGTGGTAGTGAGGGTTTGGGCTTAGTTGCCGCTGACCTTGAAACCCCAAACCTTGGCAAAAGCACTGCAAAGAGGGTTTTGGAGAAAGGATCTGCGTTGCACCCTAAGGCCGGCGAACAAATTGATCGGGTGAGTGTTTTTTAAAAACAAATGAAAACCGAAGACGCTTTTATTAAAAACCTACTATGCTCTTGTTGCCTCACGCGCGAGAGATTTTAGTGAAAACTCATATAATTTTCGAACTTGCCGAGTTCACAAACATGTAGCTTGCAAATCCAGGTTATACAGCAAATCCAGGCTTCGGGATTAGCTACGGTTGCATAAGCGTGATATGTTTGATCGGGTCTCAGATCTTATGGGTTATCTCTCTAAGTGAAGGTTCTTCGCAGGGCGGTTTTGATAAGGGTACCGGGTGCCGTAGTATTTTGAGACCTGAAAATGGTGCCCTAATTTAGAGAACCACCCTTATAGAACCCTAAACCCTAAACCCTTATAGTATAGAAACCCTATAGAAACCCATGGAGATCCCTTGAAGGAAGCCTAAAAGCACCATGCCGTGGCCGAAGTCGACACAGAACCCGAAAAAGAACCGGCACCGGAAGGACTCTAACGCCTTACTTCAGGGTTTAGGGTTTAGGGTTTAGAAAATCTCCTGTGACCGCAGCACTGTACATCAACCCTAAACCCTAAACACTTAACCCCAGCAGATGTATGTAAATCCTAAACTTCAAAACCTGAACCCTCAACCCCACTAGATAATTTCAGGGACAACCCAGAGAACCCAATACCCCTTATACAAAGAATGCACCTTAAATCTTAACATTAAGGCCCTTATAACTTATAACTTAAGGTCTATTCCTTAATTAAGGAGTATTGGGTTCTCTGGGAACCCCAAAACCTTGCTGCTCAGGAGGCGGAATTGCAGGCCCCGGAGCTGTGCAGTGCCAGCGCCGCCGAAGGGCCTGCAGCAGCTTTGAAAGTTTCCCAGAGAGTCCAACTAACCTCTTAAATAAGCAATAGACCTTAAAGGGGCTCCTTAAAGGGATCCATAAGGTTTTAGGGTTTCGGGTTGAAGGATTTAGGGGGAATTAAGGAATATACCCTGAATCATAATATCGAGGCCCCTATAACTTAAGGTATACTTATTCCTTAATTAAGGGGTAGTGGGCTCTCTGGGTTAGAGTGTCATGTGGAGGTCGGAAGCAGAAACACGAATACTGTTCCGGGTTCCTTAATTCACCGTTTAGGGTTTAGGGTTTAGGGTTTAGGGATTGGGGTTAAGGGCTCAAAGAAAAACCTCGAACCCCGAAGCCCTGAACAGTAGAACACAAGATCCCTAAACCCTGGAGCCCAAAACCCCGAACCCCAAACTTTCAAACCCCCATAATCCTACTATATAAATCCCTGCTCTTTCCCTAGAGATCCCAATACCCCTTAATTGAGAAGTATACCTTAAATCATAATTTTCAGGCCTCGATAAAATAAGGTATATTCCTGAATGCAGGGGTATTGCGTTCTCTGGGTCCCCTGATACAGATCTCGACCGCAGCCCTACAAGCGCCCTTATTAACGGATCCCTCATAGTAACCCACGTGGGAACCCTTATAGTAATCCTTATGGCAACTCTCAAGGGATTCCTTTAAAGTGGATCCTATTTTGTAACCCTATAGTACCCTTAAGCCCTAAACCGTGAACCCTAAACCCTATTCTTTAACCCTTAACCCCAAACCCTAAACCCTACACCCTATTCTGTAACCCTAAACCCCAAACCCCTAAACCCTACACTCTATTCTGTCACCTAAAGCTCCAAACACTTAAACCCTAAACCCAATTTTTTAACCCTAAACCCTAAACCCTAAACCCCAAACCCTAAACCCTAAACCCTATTCTTTAACCCCAACACCCTAAACCCTAAACCCTAAACCCTAAAGTACCCCTAAAGGTTCCCCTTGTCGAGGTTCGATTCCGATGATTTCAGGAGATCTCCATTCCGATAAAAGAAGCACATCCAAGGATTCCGGGAGCCATCCGCTTTAAGCGGAGACTTAAGCAGTCTGTACACCAATCTTCTACTCCTCGTCTTCCTGGCTCTCCGAATCTGCCTCTGCCTCTTGGATGGTGTTGCTGCTCACCTCCCATAGACTGAAGGGACCCTTAAAGGAACCTGTCGCGCGAAGCTTCGAGGCTCCAGACGTGCTCTTGTTGGGATTTAGGGTTTAGGGTTTAGGGTTTGGGGTTTAGGGTTTAGGATTTAGGGTTTAGGATTCAGGGTTTAGGATTAAGGGTTTAAGGTTTAGGGTTTAGGTTTGGGATTTAGGGTTTCGGTCCTTGATCCTTTAAGGGTTCCTTTCAGGGTTCTATGTGGGCTAAGGGTTTTCTATTGGGGTTAACGATGAGGTCTCCGGGAATCTGAATCTGTGGATGCAAGGATTAGGGTTTGTGACCTGGTATTTTGAGGATTTGTCCCACAACTCAAACCCCGCGAACCCTAAACCCTAAACCCTAAACCCTATAAACCCCAATCCCCTAAACCCTAAACCCTAAACCCCAATCCCCTAAACCCCTAAACCCCTGAAACCCTAAACCCTAAACCCTAAACCCCCCGAAGCATCAAAGAACAGGCCTCCCCCACGGCCCCCACGGCCCCCACGGCCCCATTCATCCCCAGCCCTCCTCGGCGGCGCTTGCTCCCAGTGGCTCCAGGCACAACGTTGCTTTGGCCGGTAGCATCGGCCTGCAAGCTGAACGGGTTAGGGTTTAGGGTTTAGGGTTTAGGGTTTGGGGTTTAGGGTTTAGGGTTTAGGGTGCCAATGCTGATGGAATTAGTGGCAGTTATGATGGTGCTGGCGCCGAAGTGACCTCATGACAGGACCAACCTGATACTTATGACTGGCACTTTCCGTGGCTCTTTCTAGACGACGCTGAACATTGTGGCACGCACTCGAAAGACATCACCGCGACTTCTGTCAAGGTTGCTGCTAGTCCTATGCAGATTACTGCATCTTGATCGTAATCTAATGGTTATCACAATGCCAATGACAGTTCATCACTATTCAGGTCACTAAATCTAAAGATAATGCCAAGAACAGTCCATCATCATGGTAACACTAGTAACAGCATTGGAAGTCTCAGCTCTGCGATGAAGGCCACTATCATCATCGTGAAGCGACGTCTTGCTAAGTTCTTCAGAACAGAGAGCATTCAAGCACGTCACAGGTCGCGCGAGGGTCGTGTGACATCCTGTGGGAGATTTTGTACTGATGCAACTATCGAGCCTCTGGTCCAACATAGGGGCCTTTTATAAAAACTAGAAAAGGGTTTTGGGGCATATTCTACTATACGTGCGACTAGGAGTCTACTATCGAGCCGGACAGGTGTGAGCTGAGGGCTGCGCGAAGATGCGCATGGCGGAGCGATGATGCATCCTCGTGCGTCAGAGACTGTCTGAATGAAGGACCTCTATTGCGAACCTATGTACCGGACAATGAGACCAGTCTTTACCTGCGTGTCACCCTAACAGTTTCATTCAACACCAGATCAAGCCGCAGTACCCGGGGTGTTCCCAGTTGTCCTCTCTGTAGCCTCTACAAGGTTTGTAAACTACTGGGCTGAAAGTCTGGATCTGGGGCCTTAGCAAGTAGAACGGAGCCTGGCGGTAGTAAGGGGGTTTGGCGGTCGACTATGCTACAATCATACAGGGAGTATCACAGGATACCCGTATTGATTCTTCAGACCCTAAACCCTAAAAACCCTAAACAAAGGTCTCTCGATGGCAGGTGTGGCATCGTCTGACAGTCCCGACGACAGAATTCATGGCGAACCCGAACTTACCAGACCACCCAAAACCCCTTAATTATAAGGAGTATACCTTAAATCATACTATTCAAACCCATATAATCTAGGGTATATTCCTTAATTAAGGAGTATTGGGTTCTCTGGGTTACAGCCAGATCCCTCTACCCCGAACTTCTTGAGCGCTGTGCTCTAAGCATAAGCTTTTCACCTCTTAAACCTGAACCCCTTTGAAGGGTTTGCAGTCGTGGGTCATTAGAGAGTGTGCAAGGAGATTATCAAGGAAACAAACTAAGCATAAGCTTTCTGCAAGGATGCCCCGTACTACCATGCATGTAAAGGGGATCCATATGTTCCTTTAAAACCTTATAGTAGAAGCCCAAAAGTTGGAAACCCAATAGCCTCAATCCTTAAGAGTAATCTATAGGGAATCCCAGCACTATTTGTCCTTAATCCGGTTTCCAACTTTTTGGGGCTTACTGTAATCATACAAGAAAAAGCTTTATCACACTTATGAACGCACATTCAATCCCTTGCCCTAAACCCTCAAGCCTCTACCCTAAACCCTATAAAACCTGAAGCCTACAACACCTAAACCCTGTAGACCTTCCAAAGCCCGCCCACTTGGAGGCCCAGGGGCCCAGGGGACTTAGTAATTCGGTTCTACGTAGACTTATAAGTACCCTAAATGGAGTTACCCTAATTATAATCCAACTTAAAACCAAATTTCTAAGTCCCCTGGGCCTCCAAGTAAACCCTAAACCCTAAACCCTAAACCCTAAAGTCTACTTACAACCTACTAACTAAGTCCCCTGATCCTCCAAGCAGGGCTGGCCCGAAAGCTAAGAGCGTTGCGAACGCCCGGCGGAAGCGGGGAGGGCAGCCAAGGGCCCACCTTCCAAGTAATTTCGGGGCTTAGGGTTTAGGGTTTAGGGCTTCGGGGCTTAACAATTAGAATGGGGTTCATTTCAAGGGTGCGTAAAGTTCCATATGGGTTACCAGCTGTGAGGATCCTATGATTTCGGAGCCTTGATCATTAAAACAGAATTTTGGGGTATAGCGTGGTTGCTGTAGCGGCCTGAGCGATATTCTGGCACGTGCAGAGACTCCAAAAACCCTTACTTAAGCAACACTCCGAGAAATCATGCAGGGTTCTAGGAGCCGTGGTACCGCGCAACACCCTACTCTGTGTGTAGGACAAAGGAGAACCACTTTGGACGATGCCCCAACGAAGAAGAATCCAACAAAAAGAGAGCAGGAGGCTCGACGGGACATACCACCATACCACCCAGACGTTGCTGCAGAACTTCAAACTGTTCCCTTGCTGTGAGTTGCTCCTATGAGTTTAGGAATATTCCTTGAATAAGGGGTCTGGGACTTCTTGCATGGTCATCTTGCCTCCATATCATCCAGGAGCAACACGATGCCGGCCTGCCTGAGACCAGGAGGATGTGAGTCTAAACCCTAAGCCCTAAACCCTATGTTCTATCTCCAGCTGCTAAGAACCCTTATGGGCTTGGTCGCAGAGGTGCCTCGCGTCGAGCAATTTGCAGCACGACAAAGCAGTGAGCAAGGCAGCATTAAAAGCTTTGCTTGTCGCATATTCTGCATCGCAGGTAGAAATTTGCCACTGTCAAGGAAAAACGATGTCCCAGGTGCCGAAGTCAATACAGCGGACTGGCTCGCCGAGCTCACGGGTTTCGGGTTTAGGGTTTTCGGGTTTGGGGTTTTGGGGGTTTTGGGATTTCGGGGTATCGGCGTTACGGTTGTAGATTAAGGGCTTACGGTTTAGGCCAGTTTAGGCATTGGATGATGGCTGTACCAAGATTGCATGTCCACGCAGCAGCACAACTGTTGAGTCACTGTATGGGAACTAATAATGTCTAAAATACTAGGGCTTTGAGGTCGCCAATACGATTTAGACTATTTTACAGAAGCTGCAGGACATTCTTGCTAGTGGCTACATCGGTCGTGTTCGTTGCGGTTGCCGCGCTCGTCGTCGTCTTTACCGGCATCGATATGACGAGGAGCCTCGAACCTGCTGCTCCAATCCAATTGTAACACACGAGTACAATGAGTACAAGTACCAAGTGCTGCAGGATCAGATGTCCTAACCCTAACCAGCTAAATTTGTCGATTTCCGGAATACCACAAGTCTCCATGTCGGACATCATCATCCAGCCACGCAAAGCCCAAACACTTCGGGTAAATCGTAGGATCTAACTACAGCACCTCTAAATAAAAAGTCCGTTGCGAGAAACCCCGACAAAGCCAAATGCAACCCTGACTGTAAACCACCTTCCCGCATTGTGGATCACAGGCATCAGCAAGAGCTCTTCATCCGTCGCCTGCGTCAACACTTCCGTCTGAGCACTTCAGGCATAGGAAGCATCTGCCGGACCTATTACGAAGGAACTAAACTCGGTCCTCTGTAGCCTTGCAGCAAGGGATAGAGGAGTGAAGACCTCTGCAGACACTTGCATGCTTTAAGCCTTTAAGCTTTCGGTGGGTCCCACCCCCCTCCAGGGATCCCTTTGGCGCACCTCATCTATTCCATCCTGAGGGGCGAGACGACTCAGGATCTGCAAGAATCAACCCATGACACCAAGCTGTATGTTTAGGGTTTAGGGTTTAGGGTTTAGGCTTCGGGACACGAAAGCTTAACACCATCGGATACCATGAAGCTAGCACAAGAGCACGGCGTAACTGGGTGGAACGATCAGGTGTGTAGCATTGATCTACCCAAAACCAATGTATGTATGTTCGCTAGAAGCATTGTTATGGAGCTTGTCGTGGGTGTATTCAGCACTACTGTCCTTCTGCTTGTGATGCTGATGTCGTTGATGATACTGCAGCAACCACGACTATGACTCACCTGACTCTGGCAAACATCCATGGCACTGTTGTCATTGCTAACAGTGCAGAAATCCATGGTGCTGTTGTCATTGCTAACGGTGCGCTACTTCTACTACCACCGCCACAGCTGCTACTACTACTACTACTACTACTGCTGCTGCTGCTGCTGCTGCTGCTACTGCTATGGCTACGGCTGCGGCTCCGCTGCCGCCACCACCGCCACCGCCACCACCACCACCGCCTCCATGCTGCCCG